CCATCGGCTACGTTCCAACATCCGACAGCGACATACGACGTATTGTAGAACAGGCCTAAGAAAGTTTCTAGCCACCAAAAGTATATTCTGTTCCGCAACGAGCTATTGTAGGTTTGGAAACCGCGGGGAGTGTATCTCTTGTCTTTCCTCTTCTCATTCTTTGTGTTTATTTAAGACAGAACACGATATACCTGAGGAAGAATACGAGAAATGTATGTATATGATAAATAGTCAATTCAATTCGGTTTTCCGTTTAGGATCTACTTATAGTGGAAATTTGGACGGATGGTACGGTCCATCTGGTAGGGAGTGGGTCTACGATGTGGACGGCGTGATCAACAGCACGGCGGCACATGCCATCGCCAGTGTGGGATTGGGTGTCACTACGGAAGCTGTTTGGATGCTGCGGGAAAACGCGATGATCAAGTGCCCGCCGCGGAATGATAGTCTACGCAGCTGCAAGCCGTTGGAAGAAGCGTGCCTCTTCAACATCTATCAGGATCCTTGTGAAGATAACAATCTTGCTAAACAGTGAGTGGAATACGACTTCGATGGAATTCCGTCGCGAAATTTTGTTCTATTTTAACTCGCGTTCGAACGCTCGTGATTACATTGCCCTGCCTTTTTGTTCGCATCAAAAGGTTTCCAACGATCGTCAGAAAACTGCAGGACGAACTGAAGAAGTTCAACAACAGTGCAATTCCACCTGCAAATCTTCCGTGGGACCTTAGGGGCGTTCCGAGTCTGTGGGATCATACTTGGAACAACTTCGGAGATTACATTAATGTCATGACGAACGCTGCAACCTGTGTTATGTATGAATACTTTAGTATCTTTTTATTTCTTTTTTTTTACTTCTTTTTCCGTTGAACGAAACTGTGTGCTTTGTGGAACACACTCACCTCTCTAGCAGTCTTTTGTAACTCTCTCTCTGCAATAAAACGTAACCGTCAAGTTATACTAAAGAATCCCCGTGGTATTCTTTGGTCTACATCTTACCTTCCGAATCCTAATTACAAAATAATATCCACGTATATAAAAACCTGATCGAATACCGTAATCTCAAGGATATTGTCTTCGTTTCCCTGCAGAGTGATGTATAATACGTATAAGGATTACGCCAGAAAATTTGCTGCTCATGTTAGTCCATATTTGTTATGTTACGAAGAAATCTATACAAGTATAAAGATATTTAGTCTTTGTTTCTTTACCTTCGTCTGTATGCGTCGTCATAAAAAAAATGCATGTCATTGATAAAGTATAAAAATATCCAGCAACGTTAAATTAGAGACCTCGAGCATATTTCCTCCTCCTTGTTGCAAGTGCACTTGCACAATTTTTCATTCCAGACCATCTGGCGCGCTTTATCGCACTCTCTTGTATTCTTGCATTTGCACGCGCAGTTGTCTTCCGAATATTTCTGGTGGACATTGCAGTCACTTTCCTTCACGCTGCATTGACATCTAAAAAAAAGCATACTCTTCAACAACGAATAAAACGCTGTCAAAAATTAATTATTAGTTACGATAATTTTGTGCTTTATGCGGTAATAATTTTTCTAATTATAAATGCTTTCCTTCTTCTAATTTCTTTCGCAGCCCATAGAATTCTGTAAAAATCTAATTACAGAGAAAATATAAATCTTCTTTAATCCTCCCTTGTGAAAAAAGTCATGTAGACGCGAGAAGGTTGCGGGTAAACTTTTCATAAGTGTAATACAATACGTGTAATGTAATACAATACAAAAACCCGTGTTTCCATGGAAACCCACCTATCTGCGTCGGTTTAAAACTAGAGGGTTAAACAGTTTTTCCATTAATCTTGTTCTTCTCTTAACTTTCTCTTCTGGAACTTTTATGCATTACATTAATCTTGTTTTTCTCTTAACATCCTTTTTGGGGTCTGGAAAGAAAATATTAATGTAAAATTGTAGATATATTTTTTTTTATTTATCAAACAATAATAAGGACTCCAATATTAATAATCACGTGAGGAAGGGCAATGAGAGTCTAATTTCCAAAGGATAATAAATAAATATATAAGTTTGTTACATTAAAATTCTTTAGTACGCATGTATTAAGCTTAATCTCTATAAATTATTTCTACCTTAGGATTCTACCTA